ATCAGCGAGCTAAAGTAACGGCTGAACCGAGCCGACCGTCGCAAGGGGATTACGAAATCCGCAAAACGCACTTGCTTTTGAATGTGCGATGAAATTGAATATTTGACACGTGCGCGCGTTAGGGGATTTCGCCTCTAAGCTGAATTAAGATCGTACGTTAAAAGATGCGATAAGGCGATATACAAGTGAAATGCTATTCTTAAATACATTAAAATATCCTATATTGCAAAGTGCCAGTTTCGCAGTCTGTCCGTTGAACAAAAAAAAAAAAAATAGCCATTTCCTTATAGATATCTTTGAAGCACCATAATTCGTGGCGCGAGTACAAATCGAAGCTCAGTTTAGGTGTTCGATTTTCTGCATGGACGATAAATATTCTGGAAAAATTCCAGCTACTGTTTCTCAGCTATTTTTCGCACTACGAACTTTGACGTGACTGTGCGTGCGGTAGAATTGTACGTGGTACCTGAATTTGAAGTCTTTGGCTCATACATGTACTAGGAATATCTCTGTAAAGTTTCAGCATTTTAACTTATCTGATTCACGAAATCGTTTCCCACCAAAAAATTTTTTATATTCTTTCCGGGAGTCTGTATGTGAGATCTGGGGCGCATATGAGCGATGATTTTAAATAGGTAGGGTGACACGTGGGATGGGAATATGTCTCCAAAATTTCAGCCTCCCAGCTTTCCCGGTTGCTGAGTTGAAAGTGGGTGGCAAGGTTCACTCGCTTCCGAACATGCACACACTCACATATGGACGACCTGTCGACAATATACGTTTTGCCTACTTTAGCAGTGGTATAGCGCTGCACAGCAAAAACGCATAAAAATGGTGAGTGATAGCAGTCGCATCAGCGAATTTTTTTTTTAAGAACAACATTTCCGTTGTGTATCGTCTTATCTCATCTATGCGATTAACCTTTTGCTTCAGCCCCAAATTCTTCTGTTTGAGCAAGCAAAAATTACTTTTATTTTGCAGGATGATCGTTTGGTCGGCGGTTACGAAAATGTGCCAACAGTTGACATTCACATGAATCAAATCAATTTTGAGCGTGAATGGCTGTACTTTTTGGATGAGTATGTCCGTCCAATGCAAGAAAAGCTCTTCATTGGATACTATCAAAGAGTTAGTTTGCCTTGAAGCTTGTTCCTGGTGCAGCTCTTTTGTATAGCTCTAACACAGCGTATTCGTTTTTTTGTTAACTTGGGTGTCAGGTAACCTTAGTAAAGGTAATTCATCAACAGCCTTGCAGGAACATGATTGCTTTTGGCGATGTGCTACTGTACGGGCTGCACCATTGCCTCTACTTCTTGAACCTAGTGAGAAACTGAGTTTCGATTTGGACTTGTGCTGCCTTTTGAAACCAGAGCCGCAGCTACTGCAGGATAGATGGAACAGATCTTGAGCATAATGCATGTGACAGAATGCACAAGGACGCATAACTACCTGCGGGTAAATATATGGAGTAAAGAAGACAAGGGGTATCAAAACTGGAGCTTATTTGTTTCATCCTGTGTTTCTGTGGATGGCATGTGGCTTACTAATACGGGAAAGTAAAGAAGTGGAAGGATGCGGGGTAGAAAAGTTCACGCCGCCCTTGGGCCGTTTTGAGGGGACTGCACACATATTGAGAATTTCAAAAAATTGTTTGTTCTGCTCTGCATCCAGAAGAAATACTAATTATCGGGAAGGTAATGTTAATAGCTCACTTACATTGTAATTTTAATTTTAGATGATGTGTATTTATGTAAAAAGTAAGGTTTAAAAAGGAATAAAAGAGGGTGAATAAGATAAAACGGATTAAAAGCCTGAATAGGAATGTTTCGGTCCTTTAAGTCGCATACATTCCTGTTCAGTACATAACACTGTCCCTTACTGTGATTAATCGACTGTGGCTTCAGCGAGCTCTAAGGCACTGCCAGTTGTAAGTTATAAGGCACTGGAATGGTAAGGATGTGTTCCATCAGGCTGCTGTTGTAATGGGTACTGTCTCAAATAGTGTTTCTGTGTTATTACGTATGCATGCCTATTTTTAGCCAGTGGAAGCAGTAATGATGTTCGTTGTTCGATACAAGAAAGATGAGCAGCCGTCATTACGCGCACACCACGATGCT